GTGTGTGTGTGTGTGTGTGTGTGTGTGTGTGTGTGTGTGTGTGTGTGGGTGGGGCAAGCTCTGGCCAAATGGTTTGTTTGGGCAAGTGTTTGCAGGGCAGGTCACTCTTCCATTCCCAGCCCTGGAGCCAGTATTACACAGTTCCCAAGCATGTTAAAGCTGATACCAACCCCCCCCCCCACACACTCTCACACACTATCCGCCCATGCATCGATACACACAATCTATAATATTCACACTAACCACTAGTGCTGTGTGTAAACACAGCGGCCTGTTGACACTAAAATACAGCTCTGCAGATCACCCACCCCGAGTCGAGCTGTTTGCTAGCCGGTAAAATATTAGCTTTGGATTGGCGGCTGTCATGAGCTTAGAGGACAGACAGGTGTGTGTGTGTCTGTGTGTGTGTGTGTGTGTGAAGGAGATTCACTGTAATCCTAAGGTTATGAAGTAGTCGGTATACAAGCGCGTACGTCTGTGTCGTGACCAGTTGCTCCCTGCGGAATGGGTAACCCTAGACAAGGGTCGCCCCAGAAGGGAGAGTGGCGAGTCGGGACCTAGGATTTTTGGAGTGCACAGAGAGGTGAGCCAACACCTCAGCGTAGTCCGGAGCAGCTGTCTGTCGACAGAGCAAATATGTAGTCACCACGACATACCCACTACAGCTAGTGCTGTGGTGCTCTGCTCTGCTGCTGCTGCGGCTCCCTCCTGGTGTGGGAAACTGTTTGCACTGGATTGTGTTGTAGACACAAGTAAAGATAAAAACAGACGACCTAGCCGCTTTATTTGTTGGGATCTTCATCCATATTTGGCAACTTGTTGGGCTTCTTAGGTCAACAGAAAGCCACCTTATTCACAACATATAACATGATATTATTTCACAGTAGGGCAGTTTCTGTGTACTAGCACAACAACGGTATGGGATGAAGATGGCGACCAGCTGGTGTAGAGTCACAGCTGTCTGGGCCTCTCCTCATACGTCAAGAAGCATTCCCTGATAATAAAAGGGGAATTTTGGAAGGCATTGCCTGAATCCCTACACAGGACACTAGTTAGTTATTAAGTAGTTTAAGGGGTTTACAATGTTACTTGAGGTGATGGAGCCAATGTTTTACAACATCGGTCCTGTTTATTAGTTCCAGTAAAGTCCGTTCAAATTTATTCAAATTGCATTCACCTGCTGACGTCAGATCAGGAAAGTCATTATTTCATACATTTTAAAGTTTGTGTATTTGTAACTGTGTTTTGAGAAAGACTTTTAAAGGAAGCAAACATGTCAAAGAATACTTATCGGATAGGTGGGGACATTTGGGGAAGTGTGTGTGTGTGTGTGTGCAAACCGCTACACTGATAAACATGTTCCAGCTTCATATCATCAGCCTGATACGGCACTTACACCACTGCTATCAGTCATGTGAGGAACACGTGTTATGTGGACACACACACACACACACACACAGCAGATTAGAACAAACAATAACAACATTACACCACCCTCCACTTATCTAACTCTGTATGTTATTTTGTGTTTTTGAGGTGTGTGTTTGGTTGGAGATGGGATCGTGATACCACCCACACCAATTCTGGGACCGGTTGCAATTATTTTATTACAATAATGTAACATTTTATTGGTAATAAACCTTGAACGGTTGTTTGTTTCTTTTTGTCCGTTCAGAGACGAGGGGCCATCTCCTATGACAGCTCTGACCAGACGGCGCTGTACATTCGTATGCTAGGTAAGTGTTTCCCTGTTCTATGTTC